GATCACGGTGAATATACCCGAGGCGATGAAGTTCTGTGACTGCGACGAACATCTCGGAGATATAGAACCTCGCATGTTCTTCCTTAAGGACTCCGGAGTTGTTCAATAACGTCCGGAAATCTCCCCCAGGTACATATTCCATAGCTAAGTACCTATGTGAAGTCTTTGATCAGCAATGATACATAAGAGCTTACTACTATCGGCACATACACCTAACCCGTGTCATTAGTCTATAACATCGATGTAGTGTCATGACTCACAAATTCAGGATCTTGGAAAGCATATAGCAGTCTAACCAACCATGGGCTTTTGGTGGCCGTCAGGATATCTCGTTCAACCAAGACATGCCTCGCTTCGTCCATCTTAATCAACGTTCCTTTACGCATCTTCTTCAATGCACAAACTTCGCCAGAGTCTTGCTTCCTTGCAAGAAAGACTTCGCCATATCCTCCTTGCCCGACTTGGGCAATGATATGAAACTGGTCGACCTTCAATTTTGTCCTTCGTTTTCTCAGTATCACACGCTCTCGGCCGAGGTAAGACTTGAGCTCCTTCTCGTATTGAGGGCCAGATAGCTTTCGGGCCGAGGTATCTTGATCGAATTTAGCACGACGTTCCTTTCGAGCAGCAAGATAGCTCAAAGAAGAGAAATAGTAATCCAAGAAATCTGTTAGATTATCGTTTAGAAATAAGTCGGAGTATCCAGAGTCCCTACGCCTCACATAATTGTGCGATGGTTGCTTTCCGTTTGACCTCTCCATTGCTTTGGATGATCTCCTGCTCCCAAAGCTTAAGTTGGGGCCGCCTAATAGTCGTACCCCCTCCATCCTTTGCGGTTTGGGTGCGATCATCGGACAAGCTCACTCTTCCAAGCTCATCCGTCAGTATCTCCAGGTTACTATCATGGTCTGCTTTGATCTTAGTACCGTTCCGCATTACTGTAACCACGGAGGCCACATACCCGAAGATTTATTCTGTTGAGGGGGACTCTTGCGAACTCTTGTATTATTTGCCTTGCCGGGAGTGGCCATCCCTCACCGAGGTGATTGTGGCTGGCGTTGAGTGGTTCCGCTACTTGCTTCCGATTCCAATGGCTACTAAATCAGGCCGCCAACCGCGGCCAGAGAAACTTAACAACCCATTCTCCAACATCAATATCAGCGAAATGCTGGAAAGAGATCAGTCTTCCATCGATATCAGCATACCATATATAGAGCACAGGATCGCGGCATTCAAGCAGAACCTTGCAAAGTACACGACAATGAACCAGGAAGAGCTCATGAAGAGAAGAGACCTATATGTTCAAGAAATAGAGAGTTTACGCGTCGAAAAGGGTCAGGTTACGCAGGATATACAGAACGCTCGTCTAAAGGAAATCTCTTTGGCCAAGTGTATGCTGACTTCATTTTTACGCGTCTTCTCATCAGGCAATAGTTCTGACCTTTTATTGAGCTAGTGCTAGAAGAGGAAAGGCTGGAACGCAAACAAGCTGAAGAGTTGGTGGCCCACAACAATAGGCAACTCAAATCAATGGAAGAAAGGCTTACAGAGAAGGATAGAGAATCCAAGCGACTAGATGCTACATTAGAGAATCTTAAGAAATGTACGCCCTCGTCGCCAGTCTATGTCGGTTGAACTTACTGGAGAATCATCAGCGAAAGAAAAGGAGAAAAGAACACTGGATAAACAGGCAACACAATTGGCCAGAGATGTCATTGACCTGGAACGCATGTTGGGTCTTGCCATGCGGGGTGCAGGAAGTGAGTCCTGTTTCTAAAGTACTATCTCCAGAAGTTATATTAACTGTGACTATTAGATGATCTTATCAAAGTGTCGTTCAGTAACATGGACTCTGGAGACCCTGAACGAGAGTTCTACATCGTCATTGACTTGTCAGGACACGAGTACCAAGGTACGTACTCGGTTTCTCACCGTCATCCTCTCGGCATATTCTCCATTCGAGGTGTATATGGGCGGCCCTAAAATCACTTCAACAACCCTGTGCGAAGTTGCACGGTGGGTTGATGGCGGATTCAAAATGATGAATGAGCACATTGAAATATAGGGGTTTTCCCAATCTTTGTTCAACCTCCACACAACACACAAAGCGAGACATGTGCATTTTCTAACCTGCGTTGCAGTTACAGATGCCTCGCCGCTACTGCCCACCCTGCCCACTCTTCTGGAGGGTCTTAACACCCACCGTGATTTATTTGTTTTCTTACGGCAAATACGACAAGCATTTATTGCAAGCCTGGATGCATAGGGTTTGACAGTGTCGAAGTTGGGTTGGATATTGACACACCACACATCCGAAACGGTAGAGGAACGATCGTGTTTGATAGAAGACACCCGGCCACAGTATATATATAGACTGTTGTAAACATTTGTATAAACATATCATTATAGTGATATTGTTGGATTAATCATAAATTCCGGCGGATTCTCATGTTTGAGTTGCCCATAATCAAGAATCTCCAAAGGTGAACTTACAGCGCTCGTTCTGTTCTCAACTACGACCGCCGCGACGCGAGGCTCGTGAGCTCAGAGCAAGTAGGAGACCATCATTGTTCTTTTTCATCCTTTTCAAAATTTCTCAGCTTGGTGCATAGTGTACCTTGACGGTGAGTAGGACAATGCTCAAGCCACTATTCCAGTCTCAATCGATGGCGCTGACGCTGAACCCTTTCGACTATCTTTATCATCTTTAGTGAGCTGTTTGTTTCTTTGATTTTATGGCCCTGTCTGTGGCCACCACGCACACCTGGCAACTCGACCTTGCAACGGACAGTAACTCTCATACCATGGACAGCTCATCGAACGGTCCTTCCCGTGGTGCTCAAGATACCACAGAAGCCTCTACCCCAACAGTTGGTACTCAGCCAGGCAGCAGCTTAGGCCATGGCCAGCCTACAGGCAATCAACTGTATCACACGGGAGGGGCTTTTCCCGCTCCTGTGTCACAATGGACACCGTCTCCAAACGCTGCGCCATTTTATCCTCAATTTACTCCATTTTTTTAATCCGGGTACTCCACCAATTGCTCCACAGCCCCAGTACTTTGACCCAAATCAGCAAATTGCGTGGGCTTATCAGCAAATGATGATGCAGCAAGCGGCTCTGGCCCAACAGCATCATCAAAATCAGTTCAATCAGGCTATGGCTGAATTGGGAAGAGTAAGGGCCAATTCCGGTCCCCAGCAAAACGACTTCTTTCCAC